ACAAACATTAATCAAATTTACCTTTATTTTAATCGTAGAAATTAAAAATGTGATAATATACAGGGTGTTCCATTTAAAAAAAGACATTTAGATATTGATATTTTTTATTTATTTGGGACACTCTGTATCTTGTAAAAATAATTTTAAATTGTACCTCTAATAGTCCTTCAACGAACCCAAAACTTACAATTTGCAGAAACCTAATCGTTTAGCTACCATACTCCGTGTCGTATTTGGTGAACAACCCTGTATATATTCTTCTATTATTTCCAGTGTTGTGCTATTATTCTGTCTACTAGTTCTTTGTATATTACTTTAGTTTTTGCTAACTTCATTGTGAGACCTACTTTATTGCTGGCTGTATTTAATTCGTTAATTTGTGTTTGTAGTTCTTAAAAAACCAACAAATCCGTAAAATTTCAAATCAAATTCATGTGTGTCAATTTAAATGTCAAACAAAACTGTCGAAAATTGATAGCATTATGCTCATTTCTTAATCTTTTTTAAAGGTTTAACAAACTATACTTGAACCAATATGGTTCAAATTTTGTTATAAAGCAATAAAATGACGGTTTGTACAAGGTTTTATTTTCACCCGGTATATAACCGTTAAAAAATTAATTGTTTTTAGTTACTGTTATCTAGGTTTCCAAAATACAATTATCGTTATATTTTTATATTCCTTACTTTTCTGAATTTCTAAAATTGTATGGCAAGACACACTGTAGCGTTTTTTTAAACAACTACCTCTGCGAACGGCAGCTTTTCATCGGAGAGCAGTCGTGGATAAGGTATTTCACTAGAAAGAACTAATTAATAACAATAAACAAAAAAAATACAGATATTGGGCGCCAGGCATGTACAGAGAAAGAAAACACAGTTGTTTATTACTTAAAACTAATGACTATATTTATTCAAGATGGACTGTGATGGTAAATAGCATTGTACAATTTTAATAATTATTATAGTGGTTATATGTCAACGAAAGTGGTGTTAAGAGTTGTACTAAATATCTATGAAAATAATACCATTACAAGAAGTAATGTAATGAAACCTAAGATCTAAATCATATTTTAAATATTAAATCGACATGAATGTTCTTAACAATCTAACCACTAAACATAGTCTGTACGATATTACTTAAGATGTACATTATTGTTTAAGACTGAAAATGTTTTAGATGTTAAATGTAAAACTAGAACTTAAATCTACACTTAGCTGTTCTTTATGTAACCTTGCTTCAAACAGTAGCAGCGTGAGGTGGTCTCGCATCTCTGTACTGTCTGTCGGCGATCCTGTTGGCCAAAACAACAAAAGGGGCCAGAATGAGGACACCATGAATCACTACAGCCGTAGCTACTGACTAGGCTTAGAAATGGGAGCGAAGCAGCATGGGGCTTACGCTGTATCCATACTGTGACAATATGGGGACACTACTCGTACCTTGGAACACTACTAGGACCTTGGACAATGTCCGTAACTTGGACCATAACCTTGGACACAGTCCGTCCACAAGATAACGGTACAGGGGAACACTACCCGTACCTTGGATACTACTAGGACCTACTAGCCCGTACCTTGTAAATAGTCCGTACCTTGGACCCTACCTCGAATTACTTCCGAGGGCTCAATAATAAACCAAGAAACTGTCCTTTCTTCCATGTAACATTCTGGAGGACAAAAGAAAAGAGACGCCAACGTGCCAGCAAAATACAAATACAAGTTGGGACATCCAAAACTCTACCCTGTTGCTAATCACCATTTCTAAAAGCCGGGATGGTTAGGTTAGGCTACAGAGCGCTAAAAAAAAGTCAGTCGACAGCACAGAGAGTTGACAGAAGCGATGTTGACAGCGCCTCCACAGAGCGATAACAGGGTTGTGTCAAACGATAACAGGGTTGTGGACTAGAGAACGTAAAAATTCGTCAAATAAATTATCCGGCCGGAATGATAGGGAATCCGGTGATGATACGCCAGACATCATATATCATAATCAAAGACATGTAACGAACTAAAAACGTTACAACACAGAAATACTAATAAAAAATTCTTTAAACGCCATATCAAAACCAAAAGTTCCTCATTTCAGGTAACATTGAGTTTCATAACCTCTTTTTTATAGTCGGGTATATCGGTTGTTTCAAGACAAAACGTTACAGATAATACCAGACTACATATATGATTGCAAATTAACCTCTTTAGATATCTGTAATGGGGAACATTAGAGCGACATAGTTAGCCTCAGCCATTTATGCACAATTTGTATACCCATATATGAGCCATTTAGTTTAATATTATTCACTGTAATATTTTCTAAATTCTTTTTTTAAGAAGATGCTCTCGTTGTGCTATATTATACAGGGCGAGTCTTAAATAAGTGCAAATATTTTCAGGGTTGGTATATTTCAACCCCAGGAACACGTCTATGAGTTTTTTTCTCGCAAAAAGAAGATGTTGAAAACCGTGCATTTTCTTTTAAATTACCCTGTATATTTTTCGAAAACTTTAGAACTGCCTGTTCACCGCAAATTTTCCCACGGTATAATTTCTTAATCTCTGATATTACCATAGTTATGGCTTTACTCCATGGTTACGGCACTAAAAGGGATGCAAATACAGAAAAAATCCGGTGGCTCTCAAAATTTTTTCAAAGAAAAATATTTTTTTTTTTTAATTTTCAAACTTAAATAACTCGGTTATTTTGGACTTATCTGAAAATGGTGAAGAAAAAATATGTTTTTTTATCGAGATCTACCAGCCCTGAAAATATTTGCACTTATTTCAGAGTCACCCTGTATATTTTTGAAGTCATTTTGATCAAACTAGAAAATAATTACCTAGTACTGCCTTATAAAGGGTTAACTAATGTTAACTAAAGCATAATATTTTGTACTCCTGTTATTATATTCTGTTCATCTTTAGTTTTATAAAAAATACATTTTATGGTAAGACGAAACGAGGAAAAACTACGTTTTTAAATAAAACACGCTTTTAGATGTGTCAAAAACTTTTAATAAGAGTAACTTTAACTCTACATATATGTTTCGGCTTGTTAGGCCTTTTTCAAGAGTTTTTTAAGAACTAATAGTCTAACTACACTGTAACTATATATATATATATTTGCTATGGGGGTGGGTTCAGAGAGTTCATAATAGGTGTAATAAAAAATGTGTTTAGAAATCCTTGTTGGTCGTTAACATTATTTTCCCTAATAACAATGAATACTATGCCAAAATAATGAATCCTTCACCCCCATTACTCTATGGTTTACTAAAATTACATAAAGACAATAATCCAGTTAGACCAGTCGTCTCGTACATAAATGCTCCCTCTTATAAATTATGTCAAATACTAGCTAAAACACTTCCTTCCATGATCAATTTTCAATCAAAATTTGCCATAAAGAATTCTTTTGAGTTGCTAGATAATTTGAAAAATATTGAAGTTCCACATAATGCAACACTCGTTTCTTTCGATGTCAAAAGCCTGTTCATTTCTATCCCAACCCATGAATTGTCCTCTATTATTTATGAACTAATTGATAAATCTAATCTTAATATAATAGTAAAATCAGATTTAATAACAATAATTGAAACTTGTTTAGAACAAAACTATTTTCATTATAACAATGAAATATTTAAACAGAAAGATGGGTTACCGATGGGTTCCCCAATTTCACCGTTATTCGCAGAAATATTTATGGCAGATTTTGAAAAGAAGCTATTTAAAAACAAAAGTAGTTTAATATCAAAAATAAATTATTGGGCAAGATATGTAGATGACATTTTTTGTATTTGGTCAGGCACCGAGAGAAATTTAAACATTTTTTTAACATTATTAAATTCAATTAACCCGAGAATACAATTTACTATTGAAAAAGGTATTAATACTATCAATTTTCTTGATGTTACAATTATAAAACAGTCTAATAGATTACAATTTGATATTTACAGAAAACCCACTACCACAGACACTGTAATACATAGTCAATCACACCAATCCTGGCAAATCAAAATGTCACCCTTTCATAGTTTAATTCATAGATTGGTAATGTTTCCACTGAGCCCAGAGAATTTTAAAAAAGAGTTAAATATTATTAAACAAATCGCCATCAACAAAGGATATAAGTGTTCCCTTATTGATAATATGCTAAAGAAAAAACAAAAGAAAATATTAATGAAAAAATTTTATTCCGCTAATTCTAAAGACAATAACAATTATCGACTTTTAAACTACATTCCTAATTTAACTAACAAAATATTAAATAATCTCAATAAAATAGGATGTAAAACTATTAACGTAAATAAAAGAAATTTAGGTCAAATTTTATTAAATAATAAAGACAAAACTAATGTCAAAAATAAGTCGGGTGTATATAGGGTGGATTGCAATGATTGTGATGCCGTGTACATAGGCCAAACAGGTAGAAATGTAGATATAAGGATTAAAGAACATGTAAAGTATATTAATAATCTCCAGCATAGTTCTGGTCTTGCAACTCATTGTATAGTAAATAATCACAAAATTAATGAAAACTCAATTAACTTACTACACAGAGAAACAAAAGGTAGACGCTTAAATTACATTGAACAGTTAGACATACTAAAATCTGTTAAAAACGAAAATAATGTTAACGACCAACACGGATTTCTAAACACATTTTTTATTACCCCTATTGTAAACTCTCTGAACCCACCCCCATAGCAAATATATATATAGTTACAGTGTAGTTAGACGATTAGTTCTTAAAAAAACTCTTGAAAAAGACCTAACAAGCCGAAACATATATGTACAGTTAAAGTTACTCTTATTAAAAGTTTTTTGATACATCTAAAAGCGTGTTTTATTAAAATACTAATATTTCAACGATGTTTCACAAGGAACCAACCACAGCTTCAGTACAATTTATTAAAAACTACGTTATTTCTTTTTATATTTAACTAGAGATAAATGTATTACTTCTCCCACGCCATGTTTTTTGAACGGTTTTCTTGTTACAGGAGCCGGATGTCGCGCTCCATTGGGAATGGAATCGAGAAAGATAAGTGATTTCGCTGTCTCGGCGAGCAGTAGCTACGATTCGGGGAGCGTGGGACCCCAACATGCAAGGTGAGATTTTTATCAATATGCTTTAAGTAAAGCCGGATTTACATTGTCTCACTTTTGACGTATATCGAACAGTGAATCTCTCAGAGTGAAATCATTCAGTATTTAAAAATCCTTGTTGAAAATATTTATTTATTATAAATCTTAAATAAATAAATAAATAAATGCCTTTATTGTCAAAAAATTTTTCAATTTGTAACTAACAAACAAAGTAAAAAAAAACAAGGTACACAAACAAACAAACAAAAGATAATACAAAACATTATATAAATAATATTGTCAGTCTTATTGTTAAAATAAACATTTATAAATGTTTACAATGTCAAAGAACAAAAAACTTAAAATAATACTCAAAAATATTTAGCCAGTTTATAGCAAAATATCAATGACCTCTAAATAAAGTAATTTCGATGTCATTAGTAAATATAGCAACAGCAAACATTAGACCAGTGTTTTCAAGATCAAATTCGATTTTCAATTCAAATATAATTCATTTACGGCGTAGAAAGCCTTGTCTAGTAAATAAGAGTTCAATGCTTTGCGAAATGAAAAAAATTATGTTATGGATATGATTTCAAATCGCAGGTGATTGTGCATTTTTTTCGAGTTGTATAATATTGAACTTTTAACTAACTCTGAGCGTGGGGTAGGTAGATAAAGATCTTGCTCCGCGTTCCTGAGTGGATAAGTGTGAGATGGCCTTTCTTGAGAAGCTGATACATGTTTACGTATTAGGCAAACGGATTCAAATATAAATAAGGAAGGAAGAGTCAATATTCTTAATTCTTTAAAAAAGTCCCGGCAATGAGTTCTGCTGTTTATTCCTAGTGAATATCGAACAGCTCTCTTCTGGAGCTTGAAAATGCGGTCAAATTGCGTCGCACAACACGTACCCCAGAATGGAAGGGCATACCTGAGGTGCGACTCAAAAAGTGCACAATAAACAGTTCTAGCCACTGACAAGTTAAGCTCCTTAGAAACAGACCTTAATGCAAAACAGGCAGAGCTCAATTTTTTCGACAAAGCTTCGATATGTATGTCCCATTTCAGAGAATTGTCCACAACAAGCCCTAAGAATTTTACAGATTTTACGACGTCAGTGGTGGTGTTGTTAAGTACAAACGGCTGCAACGAGTTTTTATACGACAAAGCTTTAGTTTTAGAAATGTTGAGACTCAGGAGGTTCGAATCGCACCAAGATTTAATGGTGATTAAGTCATTTGATATAATCCTATGCAGTGCCGTGATGTCCTTGTTGCTCCAAGTGAAGCTAGTGTCGTCCGCAAAAAGACATATTTTGCCACTGATGTTTATGTTAGCAATGTCGTTAATAAAAAGAAGAAACAAAACAGGGCCTAGTACTGAGCCTTGTGGTACTCCACATTCTATTGGCTTTCTAGAAGACAACGTGGTATCCACCCTCACAAGTTGACTTCTGTTGCTCAGATACGACTTAAACTATCCGAGAGATGATCCCCTGAACCCATAGTGCTGCAGTTTATTAATTAAGATCTTATGATTAACAATCGAACGCCTTAGAAAAATCACAGAAAATTGTTGCTGTAGAATGATGGTTGTTTAGGCTGGAGTAAACTTTATTAAGGAGGGAAAACATAGCGTCATTTGTGGACTTGTTGCTTAGAAATCCAAATTGATATTCAGTAAGTATTTCGTACTTAAACAGAAAAGATACCAGCCTTCTTTTAACCAACCTTTCTATGATCTTAGATAGCGTTGGAAGGAGTGCAATTGGGCGATAGTTAGAAGCTTCATCTTTGTCTCCTCCTTTGTGCAGAGGAATGATTATTGCCGTCTTAAGACATTTTGGAAAAACACCATTTTGGAACGACATGTTTATTAAAGTTGTTAGGTGATTCAGAGTGCTTTCTGGCAGATTCGAAAACATTTTTAAAGTTAGCCCGTCGGTCCCAGAAGAGGATTTATTTTTGATGGTATTAATTGTACTCCGAAGCTCTTCAAGAACTACGGGCGAAAAAAAGAAACTGTGTAAGTTTACATTATCATTAGAGAGATAAGAAAGTGGATCATGAGGAGGACATATGGTATTAGTTAAGTTTTTCGCTACATTTACAAAGTAATCGTTAAGGTTCTCAGGCGAGGTAGAGATATTGCTAGACGAAGAAAAGCTTTGTTTCTCAACTCATTCACAATAGACCATGTTTCCTTAGCAACATTACCAGAATTGGCTATTCTCCTATTATAATAAAGGTCCTTAGCGGCTCTTATAGTCTTATGATAAATTTTTCTGTATAGTTTTATGTAATTGTGGAAGAAGAGACTGTCTGCGAATTTTTTTAAGTGAGATAATGAACGCATGTTTTTAGAAGATATGCGTAGACCTTTAGTGGTCCAAGGTTTATTATGCTTATTTTTTATAGGCCTAAGAGGAAAGGATTTGAACGCTAGACTGGTTAATGTTTTTAAAGGTGCAATAATTTAAATTATTAAAGTGAATACAAAAGGCATCTAACTTTTCGTTTCTATTAAGAGAAATGCAAGTTGTAGGAGTCGGAAGAAGTAAATTTCTTGTACTGGCAAAGCTGGTAGCTTCTGCTTCTACGTGAACTGCTTTTAATTTCTTATTTGGCGTATCTTTCTGTCAAATGATTCTTTTTGCTATTTCGGTTTTCTGTTCAATTGAATTTTCAGGGTAACCTTCAGCAACCGAGCTTGATCGCCAACCTTCATGTCGCTTTAAAACTGTTATATCAGCTCCTAAATCTGCCAGCATTGTTGCCGAGCTGCGCCGGAGAAAATGACCAGTGTATTCAATGGCGTTGGAGAGTCCAAGAAATTGCGCTATCTTTTTTGGCATACTCCCAATTGCATTGATTCCAACTGGCAAGGTACAGCATTGATTTATTCGATACGTCAAGAAAAATCGCTGATGTGTCACATTGAGTGGTCGAAGTTTTGCGTACTTACGAAATACATGTAAGAAATTGATACCATCTATTGGTTCCTAAGTAATCGTAAACACTTTTGGAAAATGAGTTTTTGTATTCGGAATCTTCACACTAATAAATGACTGACAATCTTTAATGGCATCTACGGTCAAAAACGTGATTTCTTCCCTCCTACCTGCTCCAAATACTTCAACCAGAGAATAGGTACATTAAAGAAATGCTAACTTCATGTTAAAAAATCGAAACAGACGCCATCTGGTGTCGCCTGGCAGTACTAGCTAAATTGTGGGGAATTGGAGGGGCGGGGCTTAAAAGAGGGGAAATTTAAAAAAAAAATTTATAAGTATCACTGACTTACTGTTTAAAGTTAATAAACATATTTTTTATTACTTTAATATAATTTAATGTATTAAAAAATATGTCTATTAACTTTACACAGCAAATCAATGATATTATTAAAGACTTATTATTTTCAGAGAAAATTCATAGTAAATAAATTACACATTATTATAGTAAACAATATCATTTATTTGTTAGAGGCGATTTATTATATATATATATATATATATATATATATATATATATATATATATATATATATATATATATATATATATATATATATATTATTACAATAATATTGAAATATATATATTTTTTTAACAATGAAAAAGAATATCCCGGAACCTGAAAAAGAAAGATGATCAATTAATGACTTAAATTAGTTCAAAATACATTTTGCAAATAACTAGTGAATTGGAAAGATAAACATACTATTAAAAAGACATTTTAGTAGTATGTTATCATCTATTTACTGATAATACATAAGTATATAATAGGTAAATAACATGCATAAGGCACTATGATACAACTACCTGTATCATTATAACACACTAATATCACAAAAAATATATGCTAATTTAAATTCCTTTAATGATCTAATAAAACACTATCTAGCCTCAATGCATGCCATTCCAAAGGCAAAAAAAACTGTTATATCAAATAAATATAAACTGAATAAAACATAAACCAAGCCAACGTGCATAAACAACCAAAAAATGCATCAAAAAATACTTTTATCAGATCATACCCTTGGATATATTATGTATTTTATATATCGCACATCCCGTTCAAAAGTTTACTAACTCAAAATAGAGAATATAGAGAACATTGTCAAGAGAAGTAAAAGAAAATTTAAGTTAAGGCAATATGCTCCTTTTTGGATATTAATGGCCAAATAATATAATGTTGATTTAATAAAATTTTACTGGCATCCTTCTGAGGTATAAATCAGATTAAAAGGACATTGTTTTTGTAATAATTGTTTGTTTTGTAAACATTTTTTGAAGACAATACAGTTTTGAACGGGCTGTGCGATATAAACAAGGATCTTACTATTATTTGAGGTTAGAAAGTATTTAAATAACATAAAACATAATCAAAATCATTTGTCATCATAAATTATAGAGGTACTTACGTGTTTTGATATTATTATCAGGAAATAATACGTTTAGTTAAACAGGTACGCTGCCAGGCAAGTTCTATCGGCGGGTCTTTGCAAAAGTTGAAATCTAAAAATACAAAACTACGTTTACATCTTAGTTGTATTTACGAATAAAGTATTTGTGTGTAATTTCTGACTTACCAGTTAACTGAATAATCGCATTAAATACATCCAAATGGTAATTTAATATTGTAAAAAAGCAAAATTGTTTTAAATCACTTGCCAGGACAGCCCGACCAGCTTCTTTGTTGGCAAAATGGCCGCGGTATCATGATTTAAGCAATGTGAGTGACAAAGAAAGCCAATGCCTGGCAGATGTTGCTTTCTTTGTCGTTGGTCCTGGCACGTTTAAATTTGACTGTTGCCTGTTTTCCCATACAAGTGACACCCCCGTGACTCCAACGATTAAGACAACTTTAGCCAACAAGAATTCTTTGTCATCGGCTTCTTTCATAAAGCGTTCTATTTCCAGTTTTGTAAATAATTTTGATGTCTTTGCCTGATATCCGGAAGGTTTTCTTTTTAAAAATGCAATAAGGTTTGTGGGCTCTGATGCACAATAGGTCCCCACGCATTTAACACTTTTTTGGGATTGTTTTGCAAGATTATCTTAAATTGAACATTTTTAAGCAAAAAAATTGTTGGATGAATGTGTTTTATCTTTAAAAAGCCGTTATCTAAGAGGTTATTTAAAAATCGTTAAAAAGCGGGAATGTGTTTTATCTTTAAAAAAACGTCTTTTAGGTACAGGCGACGGATAGTAAATATGTAAAATTTTCTACACGGATTCAGTAAAAACTTGACATATTAGCACTTTATTACCTTCTATAGAGGTGGAATGACCTAATTTAAGCACAAAAATGTAACGAATCTTCTTTGTAAGCATAAAAATTAAGAAAATGAATTTATTTACATCATCTCAAGCCAGCAATTTTATGACTTTTTCGATTGACAGTTAATGGAACATCGGTATGTCATCTATGGCCTTCGCATAGAATTTGCGACATTGTCAATAAACATATTTTATATGATTTTCTTCTGAAATAAAGTTGACGTTGTGGAGAGATTTAAAACGGTAAGCTATCACCAGCACTTTAGTGCAACAAAAATTGAACGCTGTCTAGTAGCTTATTCGTTAGTGTGGATTATTTTAAAGCAATTTCTGAAATAAAATTTGCGGATTTTTCAGGTTCTACGAAAATATAATTTTTTTAAAGGCTGTACTTAAACTGCCGTTAACGGTAGCTTACTAAAATGCCGTTAATAGGTATGACGTCGTTGATGTGACGCACTTGACGGCTTTATGAAATATAGGAATTTTATAAGGACTAACCAACGCTATCCACCCCACCAAATAACCAACTTAACCAACGCAACTAACCTCGACACTGATAAAAAAAATTAAAAAACAAATATAAATTAGTAAAAACCAACCAACCCAACCAAATAACCAACTAACCAATGAATTAACACCCTCCAAATAACCACGCTAACCAACCCGCCAAATAACTAAACCAATCCAACAAAAAAGAGTGCCAATGCAATAAGATCACGCTATAAGCAAAAAAAAAAAAATATAAAAAAGTCTTCGTCGGCGTGAGATTTGAACCCCGGACCATTCGCTCCCGAAGCGATAGCCTCAGCCACGGAGCCAAAGGTGCTCTTGCAAAATGCTTATGGCTAGGCATTACTCTCCGCCGACATGAATGACGTCACAATATCTATTAACGGCATTTTAGTAGGCTACCGTTTAACGGCTGTTTAAGTACATCGTTTTTTAAATATATACTATTTTTCGACGCGTAATCAATGAAGTTTTGTCATTAGGAACAATTAAATTAGCCTTGGTTATTTGGAGGGTGTTAATGCATTGGTCAGCCTGGTTATTTGGGGGGTGTTAATGCATTGGTTAGGTGGTTATTTGGTGGGGTTGGTTGGTTTTTACTAATTTTTATTTGTTTTTTTGATATTTTAAATCGTCAAAATCCGCATTTTTCTGAAAGAATACTGCTCTAAAACACCCCTGAAGTCCTTGTTTAAAAAAAAATGATTTTACACAGGGTGAGTATGGCAACACTGTGCATAACCTTGTATACTACTGGCTTTATGAAGGTTATAATAGGGATTTTTTTTTCGTAGAAAAAGTGGTTCATCCAACAATTTTTTTCTTTTAAACTATTCCAGTAACTATGGGATCCACATTAAAAATTAAAAAAACCTCGAATTCGTGGGGACCTGTTCTGCACAAGACCCAGGTTTGTGAATTTGCTAATATCTACGTTTCTGTTCAGGTAAATCTTGGTGCGGAGCATCGAATATTTACTTCACAGAGTTGACGGCTTTAAGGTAGTGGATAACTTCAGGAAATAGGCTAGCAATACCTTTTCTGTGAAATTCTCAACATGTTTTTCTTTGACTCAGGTTTCAAAGTTGTTGTAGGTGGTCTCGTATAAGTTTTTTGACTTCTCGGGCACTAACGTGGATAGCGCAGTTTCAGCAGCTTGTTGAATATCCAAAGACTTGTCATTATCGCTCATTTTTTCACAAAACTTTGTAGGAAATACGGCGACGTTTGAACCTGACAGAACTTTGTCATTAAAACAATGCATAAACAATGCCTTAGAAACCGATTACCAGAATATTTTAAAAAATGTTAAAAATAAATAATAATAATAACATGAAAATCTCAAATTATCCGCTTTCACAAAAAATCTTGTATGAAATTCGTCTCGAAAAGAGCTTAAAACACATCAATTTCGCAACTTGTTACATAAATATCTATTTTATTTATACATATCTTTGAAACTATCAAAACATATTTAATAATAATGTAGAATTATGTAAAGTGATCAGAAAGGAAGCCAAAAATACAATAATGTTATGTTATTGTGTCCCATTTAAAAAAAAATATACCGATCTACTCACACTGTTATAAAACACCCTCTAGAAGTTAAGAGATTTTCCTGAAATAGGTCCAACTCTTTACTATAGGCATGCACTTAAACAAGTTTTTATTATATGATATACAGATGCCCAACGCACTGTTGCTGGACCACACTGTATATTATTTTAAAAGTTCCAATTTTAACGGTTTAAATCTAAATTGCATTTTTTAAAGTGTAACAAGCTAATCGATAGCATAGTTAAACAGACAAAAAAACCTCGAAGCGATTACAATGTCTCAGCTGGTCCAAAAAAAGCCAAAATCCGTATTAATTGAAAAAGTTTTGAACGTCCAACGTGAAAAATCCAACAGAAACTTTACTCCAACTTTATTTTTTAATCACGACCTAAAGGACGCTCCCATACATTTAATATTCCTTAATGTTTTATAGGCGACGTTAACTCACAAGGTCTATACTGACCGAGACTATTTTTAATTAAATTGTGGGTAGAAAAATCCAAAAACAAAACATTCTTCTTTATGGTTCAATATATAAAGCCCTCTCCACACGTAACGACTTACGTGCCAGTTTTGCATGTTAGGTAAAACGCAAGACCGCCTAGAAAACTGATGAGATCTGATTTGTAGGTGTTATGCGTGGGGGGAAGATATAATCAGAACAATACTTGATATAAATACGTAGTATTGTTATGCACACTTAAATCATAGATAATATATGAATTGAAATTTTTAGATTGAGAAATCACAAGCAAGGTGGAGCTTGGTGTCCACGACATATGGTATCTAGAGACGCCAGAGAATATCTAGAAGTTGACCTAGGAAGTCTGCATGTTGTCACAGGTAATTTAGAGTAGATTTGTTAATCTAAATAAATAAAAATCAAAGAGTCGCGTTAGTTAAGTATATATATAACTCAAGAATAACTCAAGAATGACTCAAGAATAACTCACTAATAACTCAAGAAAAATTGAACTGAAGAAAAATTCACGAAAAAAAAATTATATAGGAAATTAATTTTAAATAAATTAAGTTTGGAACTCCACTGTCTTCCACAATTGACAGCTTAAGTCACGCAAGTTCATAGCTTATTTGTAATGATCCTACCTTTGAATAAGAAGACTAAGGAAGGAGCATAATGCTATCCATGTATTCATGCATGGTGGGCGGAAAAGCCACCATAAAAGCTCTCTAGGGTGGGGATCCTTGACAGTTCTGTTTGACGATTCATTTGACACATTTGAATTTGATTTGAAATTTTGTGGATTTGTCAGTCTTTACGGAGCTTATTTTATGTTATTTATTATTTATTCTACTACTGATAGTTGTATAAAGGTAGTAAATCTAGATGGAAATTGTGGCAGAACTTAAATTAACAGTGACACTATCGCGATTTATCGAAAAAGACTCTAAAATAGTTGGTTGTGTAGCGTGCGGTAGATCTCGGCAAAAATTGAGTGAAATAATGGAACAACTTTTCGCTAGTAAGTGACTATATAATATACATACGTGTAGTAAACCGATCATTTATGAAATTCACTTAAATTAACTAAATTATATATTTTTCTTGCATTTTAGCTTTTATTTATTACTTGTCAAAGATTAGATGTCAAAGAATTGAGATACGTTAATTTGACTTACCTGCTTCAGTAGCGTATCGGATGTTTGTGGTAATAAATACTTATTATAACTTATCTATTTTTATTAGAATTATATATTTTTATAACAATTTTAATAACTACCAACATTTATTCACAACGTAAAATAAAACAACAAATTATTGATTCTACCCCACGTCTACCCTACATCATAGTTTTACATTTTTTAAATAAAATTAGAACGACACTGATAAACCGGAATTTAAGTCGGCCATATTTGAGGCCCATCGCGGTGTACCTAAGATTTTTGATATGCTCCTTCCTTAGTCTTCTTATTCAAAGGATCCTACTAATAACTACCGATGTCATATTGCTGCATTATTATTTTGATTTACTGTTATACTTACTTTTTTGTATGACAATATCTATTAATCTACCGTTAGACAGGCATTAGATTTCTATCCAAATTATTTAATATGGCAGAATTTTTATGATATTTTATTTTGTATACAGGGTGTTTCAAAACAAATGCGAAAAACTTCAGAGGGTGATTCCTTGTTCAAAATAAAGGGTAGTTTGCTGTATAAACGTTGGGTCAAAAGTTAACCATTAGGGAGATATCGCGGTACAAAGATGGCGGAAAAATAATGTTTTTATTTTTTATCTTGAAAACGAAAAGAGATAGACTAATGAAATTTTACGGAAGCATTACTGTTATGAAAACACACTTTCTGGTAATTTTTTTACTTCTTTAAAATAAGTGAAGGGGTTGAAATAAACTACCCCTATCATTCTTGTTAATGAAATTTATAGAAAATCTTATCAAACACATGCAAAAAAAATTAATTTTGATAGTTTAGTTTATTTAGAAACTTTTTATCTCTTGTGTTTTTTGATGAAAACTCACCAATTTGAAATTAAAAAATAAAATGTAAAGCATTACATGTCAGGATAAAAAACATTTTTAGATAAAGAATCTAGTGGGCAGCTGTAATTTTTTTAGGAAAAAATCTAGTCGGCCGCTGTCACTTTTTAGGATATTTCTAATATTGTTTTATTTGACATTACCCTACTGCAATACGTTATTATCTAGATTATTATTATTATCGTTATTATCACTAGATTCTTAATCTAAAAATATTTTTAGTCCTGACATGTAATGCTTTACATTTTACTTTTTAATTTCAAATCGGTGAGTTTTATAAAAAAAATACAAGAGATAAAAAAGTTTCTAAACAAACTAAACTATCCAAATTAATTTTTTTGCATGTGTTTGATAAGATTTTTCTTTAAATTTCGTTAACAAGAATGATAGGGGTGGTTTATTTCAACCCCTTCCACTCATTTTAAAAAAGTGAAAAAATTACCAGAAAGTGTGTTTTCATAACAGTAATGCTTCCGTAAAATTTCATTAGTCTATCTCTTTTCGTTTTCAAGATAAAAAATAAGAACATTATTTTTCCGCCATCTTTGTACCGCGATATCTCCCTAATGGTTGACTTTTGACCCAACGTTTATGAAGCAAACTACCCTTTATTTTGAACAAGGAATCACCCCCTGAAGTTTTTCGCATTTGTTTTGAAACACCCTGTATATTTTATTTTTCTGTTTTCATAATTTATATGATTATGATTCTCCAGTATTTATATTTCAATTCTACTTTAATACTCACATTACGGTATTTATACCAAAATTAATTTGTTTTTAAACGACACAACATTATTCAATTTGCTTTAGTGTTTCCTAATTACCTTAAATAGAGATTTTGGCAATTGATATGCTCTAGCACATGCGTTTAATTAGTGATTAACATTGTATTACGATATGAACTGCTGCATATTACATAGGGTCATTAGGAGAAATGCCAATTATGTTATATTATTAAATATGGAATTTTAAAAATGACTAATTTAATAATATCGCAGGATATATGATGATCATATTTAGCTAATCATTGATAAGAGTAAAATGTTTTAGCACATTATCATAGGGTAAAATGTTTTAGCACATTAGGCTTGATAAAGAGTTTTCTGGATTATAAATATTGTCAATATGAAGGTTGCTGTGTCTTCACATTGTTTTATACAGGGTGGTACGAGCTGTATTGTGAAAATTTCGACAGCATAAATATTCTGCAGATAAAAATAAGTAAAAAAATCCGTATAAATAATGTATGTCCTAAAATGCTTAATTTTGGAGATACTAAGGGTGTAGAAGTTTAATTTTTATTTCGATGTTTTAGTCAACATGTTTAATTTATGTCAATGATGACAGGTATTGGTAATTTCGATTCTAAATATCTCGAGAGACTTACTCTTAGCGATTTTTACCAAGAGACGTTTTTTACGTAGAAAACGTCGTAAATGTATATTTTTTACTCAATAGTTTTATATAGGTACGAACGAAAAGTTATTATGCTTCTAAATACAAGATAATAAAACTATGATATTATTTGTACATGACACACAAAAACCGTACTGTAAACTATTGCCAAATAAATAAAATTATGATATCAGGTGATATACTTACAAAAAACTCTTTAGCAGTTATTTTTTAATTACTTTGTAATTCTCTGACACCTTGTATATTTTATTTTAAAAAAAAATATTTTATTTTGAAAATAAATAATTTAATTTTAAGATTAACACTCGGTAATAATTGTAAATTCATATATAGTAAATATCTAAGACAATTTTTAAACTTTTATTGAAACTAGTAATAATCATTTAGTTTTATTATAAATTATCAAAAAGTAAAAAATGGCTTTAGCATATCGTCATGCTTTATTTAACTAGAACATCATTTGGATGTTTTTGTCTTGATGGAAATTGCCGAACTGACTATTAGTGTCATTCATTAGCTGCCCATACACGGAAAGGCCCGGCCTTTGAACTTGGAATTGGGGCCGGGTCTTTATCCCAAAATACCATAGGTTTGAGTAAAAGGCAAAGTCCGCGGATATATTTCCGATATATTTCCGCTATGGTAATTTGAGTGAAACCTCCGGCCTCAAGGGCAAGTCCGAAGGTCGGGCCTTTCTGTGTATGGGTTATTCTGTGGTATGGGCAGCTATTATTTTTTAGCAGCTAAACTCAGTGCCTTTCGATGGAGTTAAGGTTTCAACAATTACAGCGGCATCCTTACTCCCACTAGCCCTAAAGCTCATATTTGCAAAACCCAATACTTCTTTTAAATTAATTTTTAATTAACCCTTTAACGAGTTTTTGTTTTGTTTTTATACTATCCGATTGAAATAAAACTTTTGGGCATTCACCTGTTTAGCTTGAACTCCCTGTGACTGTGACTATCTGTGTTGGTAACTATTGGTAACTCAAAAGATCTACATCATTCAATATATCGATATTTGAAAAAAAGTGAAAGTCTGATATCTGCAGAACAAAGGCACGAATGATTTTAACAAATAATATACGTACAGTAGAAAAGTACATTATCTTTGGCAATCTTCAACATAATTTGGCTTTGGAATAAAATGTATAAGCACTTCTAAATATTTTGTTTTCGTATGATCTCCGCCTTGCTGAGCAGAAAACGACCAAATTTGGTTGATAAAAATGTATCGAAATACAAAGAATATTCATGCATTTTTATATCAATTGGAATGTCTACTATTTATTCTTATCAGTACACATTTTTTGGCTTATTTCTATTCTAACCAAACGGTTTTGTCCCGCTAAATTTATCTTCTACCGCACTGTGCGCTCGTCCGTCAAATGAGGTTAAACGCAAAAATAATTATCACTGTCTAAAATCTTTACCGCCAACTTCAACTCGGTCTCTATATGACGTAAAAAAACTGACAGTGCAGGAAGATAGGAATCGAACTATCCTTATCTCTATAGTATCCTTGGGTGCTCTCTACAAATAGAAGTCATATTGACATCAAAATCAAATTACTCATATCAGTAAACTTCCAGACACCAATTTTTATCCAAATATTGACGTTACTTCATAACTTACCGCCAACTATTATTACTTCATAATTATATACTTCATAATTTACCGCCAACTACGTATTTATAGAACACCTGACTCTGACGTGCAATTATTCTGTCATAATCTACTAAGCTTGCTTGAGTCTCTCTGATCATGGTATCTTTTCTGTTTAAGTACAAAATACTTACTGAATATCAATTTGGATTTCTAAGCAACAAGTCCACAAATGACGCTATGTTTTCCCTCCTTAATAAAGTTTACTCCAGCCTAAACAACCATCATTCTACAGCAACAATTTTCTGTGATTTTTCTAAGGCGTTCGATTGTGTAAATCATAAGATCCTAATTAATAAACTGCAGCACTATGGGTTCAGGGGATCATCTCTCGAATGGTTTAAGTCGTATCTGAGCAACAGAAGTCAACTTGTGAGGGTGGATACCACGTTGTCTTCTAGCAAGCCAATAGAATGTGGAGTACCACAAGGCTCAGTACTAGGCCCAATTTTGTTTCTTCTTTTTATTAACGACATTGCTAACATAAACATCAGTGGCAAAATATGTCTTTTTGCGGACGACACTAGCTTCACTTGGAGCAACAAGGATATCACGGCACTTCATAGGATTATATCAAATGACTTAATCACCATTAAATCTTGGTGCGATTCGAACCTCCTGAGTCTCAACATTTCTAAAACTAAAGCTTTGTCGTATAAAAACTCGTTGCAGCCTTTTGTACTTAACAACACCACCATTGACGTCGTAAAATCAAAATTGTTGTAGACAATTCTCTGAAATGGGACATACATATCGAAGCTTTGTCGAAAAAATTGAGCTCTGCCTGTTTTGCATTAAGGTCTGTTTCTAAGGAGCTTAACTTGTCAGTAGCTAGAACTGTTTATTATGCACTTTTTGAGTCGCACCTCAGGTTTGCCCTTCCATTCTGGGGTAGGTGTTTACGTACGACTCAATTGATCTTCGTGGTCTTCTCACTTGTGTGGTTAAACAACTCGTGCTACGCACTCGTTGTGCAACTTTTACACGCGTATCTTAATGATGATGTTAACTCACTTGTATCATAAATATCTATTAATCAATCCAGTTGCACAAAAAACCCTGTATATTATCATACACATAACCACGATATATATATAACGTCAATTTCTAATCACAATTCGAATTAATACAAACGGTCGTTTCGGGTGGCGACCGATCATCATGAGGCTGGCGTTTTTCAATTCGGCCATAGCTCATTAACGTATGCACATGTCCCCGATATTAAATATTTAAACGAAGCTCTGTCACAGACATGTTACAACGTGCACGTATTTCGTCCGGTATCTGGACCAACGTCAGCCGTTCATTAAAGCCTGATTGTGCCATATCTTGTTTATTATTTAACGGTACACGCTTTACCTCGCATCAAAGATAATTCAGTTTGTAATAATCTGGGGACAACGTGTAACTACCCGCATTTGATAAAAAAGTTACTTTGTAAACAACCTTCTAAAAATACATTTTAACACAATGTCTGCAATATCCGCCTTAATTTTTTGCACCCTTCTATATGTGTCTATAACGGGTTTTAAAAGCTTCTTAGAGAGAGAGAGAGAGACATCATTTTTTTGGTATTTCGGAATCTTTTAAAATTGGAAACACAAAATCTAGTAATATGTACCAATTTATTAATGCTTAACATTAAAACTAAACAAAACAAAGTTTTCTAGCTTATTTTGAATATAAAAATGCCATCCCGTCAAAATCTTAAACAGAAAACTTTAAAATATTGAACTTTGTCGGAACAGTATTCCACCCTGTGTATAGTTATACCTATACAACAGTAATTTCACTGCTCACTGGCTTATAACACACGTCTTAAGAGTTTACGTGCGCCCACCTGCACGTTTTATATGCGAAAAAGCGCAGCGCAGGATGCATCGTAATGCAAAAGCACATGTTACCGAGGCGTATAACGGCTGGCTTTCATGGAACAATTTGAAAATTAGAGCTTTGACGTGTCTGACGCTCAATCTGGACCGTCTGTACATACATAAAGTGGCATTGTTTTAAATATGACTGATAAGCGTGAAAATATATTAATTCGGACAATGGAAACAATAGTAAACTTTGCTGTATACCTATATGTTATGGTTAAAATGGAAACTTGGCTAGGTGGTGACATCTCGTTTGTTTGGCTCCAAAAAAATGGCATCCTAAGATTTTAAAATCGCAGTAATAGTTATTTAAAACAATCACTATTAACTTTATATGCTCTAAACAAAGATTTATAAAACTATGACGAAGTGAAGTATACTATATTATGATATAATTGGTTATTGATAATAAACCAGTGGCGTGGTAAGTACTTAAAAAATAATAATAAAAGTAAAAATGCCTTATTTTAATGACACACCCTGTATCAATATTTATAAAAATTAGAACTTAAGTATCTTAGGTAAGGAGGATTCAATATAATTTATCAGATTTGAAATAAATACTGTCCTAAGGGTAGTTTACTCTTGACTCGAAAAATATCAAACCCTATTAAAACGTATGTCTATGAGGTATCGCATTTCTTACTCTGGGCAAAATGTTCGTCTTATAGCTATACAGCCTTCTGCCAAATATGAAAAAGATCGCTCAACAAACAACCAAGATATTGGCTTGTATCCATCTTAAGTGGGACACCCTGTATATAACATATCCCTATAAGAAAGCTCAGACTAGATACAATCAGAAGCATTTAAGTATTCTATTAATTGGCGAATGCACGTGCGCCACCCTGTACATATTTTTCTCTAAACAAGATTATTCATTTGGAGATCTCTAACATCAGAAGTGGGATTTTTCTTTGGTGTTGTAAATTCCTGTACTTTTGTGGCAAAATTAGAGCAGTAATTATGCCGCGATGTAAAAGGGAAATGTACTTTCAGTTCAACTGACTCTAACTGAACGTTCATATGTTCATCTTCGTTCTAATACTAAAAGCCGTCCGAAAAACCGTGGTGGAAATATCAGTTGTTGCTATAAAATACTTATTCTTCTCTAAATACCATTATTATTTGAGAGATCCCTTACACTTGTTATACATAAAAAAATAAAGATAAAAATCTATAATATTTTACTTCATAAAATTTAGCCTCATATAAACCGCCTATCCTATGTTTTTCGTAAAACTATTTCCACAAGATGTAATATCGTTGTTTTACCATGCTTTGCGAGGCTTCATACGCTCGCCTCTTCCGGATTTAATAAATCCGGAACCAGCCAAAGACTAAACTATATTAAATTTTGCTTTTAGCCGTTAATAAAGGAAACTAGAATTTATTTAATTCGTTATTTTTAGGGAAGCGGATTCAAAACAGAAAGAGAGAGAGAGCGGCCATAATTAAAATTTAATTGAAGCCAAAAAGCCGGCGCGCTTAATTTTCTACCGTTGTAAATTGTGGCTTTTTAATTTTAGAATTTAGGATTATATTAAAGAAGATCGTGTAGATATGAGAAAAATACAAATCGAGGTTTTTTGAGATTTTCATTTTAAAGTTCAGTGATCAAAATACAGTGCCAACAGGAATATACAGCAATAGTGCCTCGGACATCTGTAGCTCCTAGAATAAAAAACTTGAGAATTTTATTTAAGAGTCTATTACGCTGTACTGTTCGGGTCGCTTTCAGGGGTCGGGTAAAGCGGGTGTGTGGCCGAAGAATAAATATAGAACAAACAATTTATATATAAGAAGAACATATATACCGTATGATCCAATAAAAACGGCGTCAGCAATGGCTATGAAATGAAGACCGCAGTCGTTTTATATGTAAAATTATATGGGAAATGTCATCGATCGTCATATCATAGCCATCGCTGACGCTGTTTTTATGGATTACCTTATCATACGGTATTATAGACTTGATCAAGGTTTGCAGAGCTTCGGCATTTGCCATAAAATAGCGAGCAATTTGTTACAAAACCGTATAAATTATATATCACTGTAATCACAAAACTTCAATCTATTTCCGTATTGTAACGGAATTTTAAATTATTTTAGATTTAAAGATAGTAAAGTATTAAATAATTCTGGTAATTAAACAAAAACAAATATTTAATACTTTACTATCAGAATATAAACGAAAATAAAATAAAAAAGTCTTTGCCCTGACCCGGATTCGAACTCTGAATTATCGGTTCGTGGTCGGAAACTCTACGCACTGCGCTACGGAGACATGTTCGGTTAATATTCAATACTAGAATTTAAAGGACTAATAAAAATATAGGATCTTCTTTCAATGCGCAGTAGAGAACGCAACGTTTACCGGCAGCCAGACGGGCCGCATTATGTTCTAGAGAGCATAGTAAAAGATATATTAAAGAGTCAGACGCAGACGTCTTAAAATACTTGTTTTTCCGACGTTGCTAGCTCTCGTACTATTAGGTAATTTGGTATTATCTAATATATTCAATATTTTTGCTTCAGGTGTGAAAACACAAGGACGATATGGAAATGGACAAGGTCAAGAATATGCTGAACAATACATGGTGGAATATTGGAGAAGAGGTCTAGGTAAATGGGTTAGATGGAAAGACAGAAGTGGTAAAGAGGTAGGTTTAGATCTTTTATGATTTATTTATTTAAATTTTAAAGATGAGTCTATTGTTGGCTATCGGTGCCCAAGTTATCCCTGCTAATTTCCTAATATCATGCTCCCATCTGAGGTTTGGTCTTCTTCGAGGTTTCTTAATTCCTCGTGGATATCATGCTGTAATTATTGTGGTCCATCTGTTGAGCGTCCTTCTTACCAGGTGTCCTAACCATTGCCAGTTGAGGGATTTGATTCTGTTGATGACATCTATTACCTGGGTCTATTCCCAGCATATTTCGTTTCATTGAGCGTTGTATGACCTGCAGTTTCCTTATAATGTCCGTTTTAAGTGTCCAGTGTCCAGGTTTCGTATGCCTAGGTCATGACTGGTAGTACACATCATAAAATAATTAACTAGAAAGAAGTGTCAACTCTGTGTTAAATCGTGGAAACACGATACGCCACCGAAAGCCTTCGTTGTCATCTGGAGAACTAATTTTCCAATTGACAGGTTGACATGATGGCTTCATTTTTATTTCCGTTTCCGGTTATTCAATGGCGGGCCCTCTTTCAGTTTAAATGTATTTTGTACTCTTTCTTATCATAAATAAAACAAAACAAAATTTTATTCAAACATATTTATTTGAAATATGAGACAACGGGACTAAATAAATATAAAAAATAAAGAATTGAATGATTTCTACAGCAATTACTTAATTATATGCAATTTTAACGTAAATTAGTAAGGTATAAGCATGACTTACAGTAATTTGTAAATAAATACGCGTATTTACAGACATCAAGGATAGAAAACGGGGGCAGACATGAAAACGGGAGCCTTATACAAAAATCTGAAAACAGAAAAACAAATTTTTTTATACTAAAATTAACAATGTAAAAATATCAAGGTATAAAATATAAATATACTGTAAAAAGCGTCCATTATTCCCAAAGAGACCTGGTTTGTAAATCAAAAAAAGAAAAAAGAGACTTTTAGTCGGATAACAATCAGATTGTATCAGTCAGATTTACTGCATTATTGACAATAAATCGCACATACTGGAGATAACTAATGTTGGCTATAGTTAAAAATGATCTTACCTTGCTGTAAATTGTTTCCATTTTTCAAAAAAAATCGCCGATCATAAACATAACAAAATTTTCTTGCATCTAAAAAATACAGAAATAGTGTTTATTTACTACCTATTTTTAATATACATGGGACATACCTAGTACTGCAGAAACGTCTTTTTCTCCAGGATTGTTCATGTAATAATATATTTTATATGCTTTACTACCTTTATATTTATAAATTTCTGCCGAAATATCAAACTGAATTTACAAAACAAAACTAACCGGAAAGAATTAAAATGGCGTCGAAATTTGTTCTAGAACAAATCTGAAGTTGTCTCTGAAATCTGTCAATTCTAAACTGTGAAGTTAGACAATAGTTAGAGAGAAACATTGCTGTCCTTGTCTAGGCGGCCATACTTGTCGTCAGGAGATGACAGGATTGACACTAATGACTGTTTCCAATTTTCCTATTTCACTGTCACCCCCCTGGTACACATTGGTCGAATTTTTTTCTTCTTTATAGTACAATTCTTTTAAAAGTTCCTCAATATGGCCGACCTAGTTACGAAAATTGGTAATTTTTTTTAATGAAAAATAAGTTGGCGTTAGCGAATTCAGAAATTGATTTTACTCTTTGGTTAACAATAACATTTTTCAGGATTGTCAAGTTGACGTTAAAGTTAGATTATTAGGTGGTTGTCATAAATCGTAAATAAAAACATATATTATTGAAATTATTTAATAAGAATAAAGGTATTTTACCGCAGATCCGAAGAGATTTTACATAAAGGTATTTTATAAACTTTCTCAGTGAGAATATTAACTCCCCTGTTTCTTATATTTTAGTCAAAGGGACGTAAGAACTATAGGAAGTGAATTTTTGTTTTCATGTTTTGGCGATATCTAAGAGTTCCTAGAATTATCAAGATTATTGAATAATTATAGTTGTTTAATAAGTGAAACTAATAGAAGACTTGGAAATAGGATGATGCGTTTCATGTTATAGTTGATAGATCACCCCATTTCTCTTAATTTGTTTTTATTTCAGTACAGTTAATCACAAATTGAATTGATTTGTGCAAAAACAGCTATATATTTTCAAACATTAAACTTATGTAAATAGTTCTTTTATATACTGTTAAACATCAACTACAAAGTCTTTAGCAAAAAGTTAAAAGGTAATAAATTTTGTAGAAATAATTTATGAAAATTTATATATAAAGATTAGAACACAATCCTCTGAGGGAAAATGAAATACTCAAAAACTCATTAAATATACTTTATATTAAAAATAACAACATACGAAAACAGTCATCCATGCAAACTGTAATAATCAGAACATTATCCACATTATACCTTTATTAAATTTGTGTTCACACTCCTGTCAGGAAAGCCAGAAATGTTTGTTTAAATATTAACTTATTTTAAATTGCCAGAAACACATCAGAATATGTCACAACCACAACTATAGGTTTGGAATCAGTACTAAATTTTATACCTAGTAATTAAGTGATGCGTCAACTAACAAGTATAGGATAAAAAAGAATTATTAATATAGAGTGTACTATACGATGTCCTTCTGCTTATTTATGAAATGACTTTCCTTTCAAATGTGAGGAATACCAGTAAAAGTTTGGTTTGGTGTTCGATATTCTAACTATATCTATTACAAACCTTAAGTGCTTTTAGTGAGTAACTGTATTTTTTATTATACTTTGTGTATCCTGTAAAGTAAAAAAATATATATTTCAAGAAATATGAAAACAATGCAATAGATATTAAACAGATTCATAAAAACTACTTACAATTATTGTACATTATTATATATTTCAAGTGTTATTTGATCTTTAGTCCCATTACCAACATTACCTTATTTAGATCTTCTCTACTAACTCAACTTTTTAACCTGTTTTAAAATTTCTTTTTATTTTAAAATTGATTCATATCAATCTGTAATGCCCGCGCTGTTTCCTGAAATATAAGTTTTAATCTATTTATTATTATATACATATTACAAACCTGAAAATTACTGATACGAGGAAACTTCTCAAAATAATTAGAGACCTTTTTACAAACATCTAGACTAATTTACTTTCACGAATTTGTGGACGAGTCAATGCTTTCTAATACGTTTTTAAGCGTTTTACACATTTTGAATATCTTCCAGCCTATTCCTCAGTTCTTGATCGGCGAAAAGATCATTTTTTTTAAATATATTTATTATATTTGTGAATAGAAACTCAAAAATAATGAAATTATGAAAATATTTAGAAAAAGAAACCGTAAACGTCAGTCAGCCAAGTGTCAATGTTCAATTAGATTTACCACAGATTATCAATTTGAACGATTTGAATTCCAGTCTAGAGATTTTCATTTTTTAAGCCTCCCATACTGAAGTCCGCCATATTGGGAAGTTTTAAATGAATACAAGTATAGATAAAGTGGCATTCTAGATTTGCATTTCTTCTTTCTTCCATCAGCATTACATGCTAACTTAATTCTTCTGTTGATTTCTGGTAGTGTAATCTTTTTATGTAAAGGTAAAAAGTCTGGAATCTACTTTTGAATTAAAATTATAGACAAGTGCCGCTGTCAAGTTTACTACTACTACTGCCATTACTCGCTGACGAGTATTTGACACGCATCAGAAGATGGTCACGCAAGGCGTTTTCTTTCATGAGCTTTTCTGTGACTGAAAAGCCCGATACTTGATGTTATCTGTCTACCGCACTCCAGACATTCAAAAATCCCATTGCTTTGTTCCCTCTTTACTTTTTGGTTGTCGCTGTTAACTGACTTTACAATTTTTCTCCATTCCGTTCTATTGTGAGCTGCTTTTTCCCACTCATTCTGCTTGTTAATACCCTTTAAGTTTTCGTGGAAAATATCCTTGTACCTTTTGAGTTGTCCACCCGGCCTCCTTTTACCGTCTACAAGCTCACCGTAAAGCAGAGATTTTGGTATGCGGTTTTCTTGCATTCTGCACACGTGACCAGCCCATCTTAAGCGGGACTTTGTAATCATGACTTCAATACTCTCGCAGTTAGCTTTTTCAAGGACCGATACAATTGAGACATGATGGAACCATTTTATTCTTAAGAGTTGTCTAAGATGTCTCTGTTGCAACTTGTTTAATGCATTCATGTGTCGGCGGTACGGCATCGGCACCCAAGTTTCGCTTCTATATAACATGGTGGGAATTATTATTGCTCGGTACACTGCAAGTTTCGTTTTTGTGCTCAAGTCATGATTGTAGAAAACCCTGTCTTTTAATTTCGAGAATGCTCTTGAGGCGCTGCTAATCCTGTGTTGAATTTCCGAGTCGATATTGGCCTTTTCCGAAATCAAACTGCCGAGGTAATTGAATTCCGCTACATATTCCAATAGTTCTTCTCCGATTTTTATAGCATTGTTGTGATCTTCCGGGGGAGTGCACATGATTTTAGTTTTATCGATGTTCAGCTTAAGTCCCAAAGCCTCGTATGTATATGTGTTCAACATTTCTTGCAATTGCTGTAACAGTTTAACGGTTTCCTCGCTGAACAAACATATGGTTTAAACAAACTTTTATTCTGGCTTTCGCATAGAGTGATTGATATTTTCACGGATTTGATTGAAACCGGGAGCACAAAATTGCCGACGCAAATGACAGGCAATCGCAATTAGTAATGAATGACGTAATTCGGCGACCGCTTAAATAATAATTACAGCGCCCTCTGTCCGCGCGAATGCTTTATTACAGTGCTCAAATTCGAGTTTTGTTTATGGTCAGATTAATGAACTGCATTTGTTTATTTTATTTGTTCCATTTATTTCTGTTTGTTTATTTTAAATGTATCGCATAATACGTAAATGATAAAAAACCACTAAAAAATAAGAAAAATTTGTGTGCACTATGTGCGTATATTATAAAACTTCTGTGAGTGAAGTTATTTATTAAAAATT